CACACACACACACACACACACACACACACACACACACACACACACACACAAGAAAGGCGGAGGAGTCGGGAGGACTCATCATGCAACGATAGTTGAGAACCAAAGATGGGAAGGAAATGGACAAATGGTGATCATAGCGATGATTCTCTGAAATACAATTCGCTCAGAGTGCGGGAGGGGTGGGGTGATGAAGAAGTCAAAACGTTTCCTGGGAGGAGGAGCTGGGACAAAGTTTAGAGAAGAGACAGAAGAGAAGGATGAGGAGGAAGAGCTGCGGTTCGAGAATGAAGAGGACGAGGAGGAGAAGTAGGAGGAGGAGGAGGAGAAAGAGGAGAAGGAGAAAAAGGAGGAGGAGGAGGAGGAGAAGGAGGAGGAGAAAAGAGAGGATCTAAATGAGGAGGCGGGAAGGAGGGCAGGCAGAATGAGGCAGGCAAAGCGAGTATTGGGTAGGAAGGAGGACGTCGATACTAACCTGGTGAAAACTTCTACTAGCCATCGCTTCAGATTGTAGAGCTCCGAATAAATCAGCGTCATGTGGCTTTCACACTCTACCCTGAGCCGCTTTACCTCCGAATTCAGCTCTTCTCCCTGTAAGTTCATCAAGACAACAAAAAGAAGCGCGTTAACAAAGATAAGTGAATTAAAAAAATGGAAATTTAAACAGGCATCGACGAAGTGCAGACTCAGGCTCTCCCCTTTAGGAAACCACTGCCTCTTTTGAATCCACCAATCCACCAATCAACCAATCAACCAATCAATTAACGAATCAATCAATCAATAAACCAATCAATCAATCGATCAACGAATCAATAAACAAAGCAAGCAAGCACGCATGCGAGCTACCATACCAACCAATCAATCAAGCAATGACGAACGAGCTTGAAAGAAATAATATGTCAAAGGCTCAAAGATCTTTCATCACCTGCTGCCGCAGAAGCTCCACTGCGTCTTCCACCTCCTCAGCACTCGGCCTTCCCACAAATGAGATTCCACGGTTTCGCCTTGCACTGCAAAAAAAGAAGTCCGTATCAATATCCAGGGTCCCATAGCAGTTTCAAAATATCCACGAATAAAAAAAAAAGAAATAGCGAAAAAAAGATAATACGATTTCCC